TTCATAAAATACATGAGTTAATTATTATAGATATATTTAAAAAAATATAGACAAGAATCAAATTAAAAGTTGGAATTTTTACATATACTGCATTTTGTTATTACCCCATTGGATTAAATATGTTTATGTCCACTTTGCTCTTATTTCTATGAAATATAATCAATACTGATTATTTTAACTTTGTACAGTTTTAGAATTTCATCCTTTGCTAACCTTGGGGACTAGAAACATTTTTCACAGTAAAGATGTTAGACTTTCATGTTTAATTTACTCAGGTTCCTGGAGGCAATGAGTAGGAATAGAAGGGATAGTAGTTGGGCATGATCTCACTAATACGATCTTCAAGATATTGGCTCCACATTCCTAAATGGAAGTCTGATTTTGTGTAGGGAGATGATTGCTTATACTGGCACAATCTCCTTTTCACAAATCTTGGCAAAGAACATTACTACAATTTTTTCAATCACCTTCTGACATTTATCTTCTATTTCAGCTTTTCTATTCTTTAGGGCAATGATGCTGAGGTATCTATCTAATATAACCCTATCATTTTGATAAAACAGAAATCAAAAATAATTTGGAAAGGTCTCTCTTGGTTTCTGAGATCTTCACCTTAATTTCTGGGACTTGTTTGTCTCTCTCACTCTTTTTACTCTGTACAGCATTTCTACTGCATGATATAAATCCATTCAAGTGTGACTCAGAGGTACAATATCAACAATGAAACAGGCATGTGGAACCTGAATAAATAAATTCAGTGTTTCTAAATAAAGTCTTTCACAAACATTCTTAATAAAGTTTATGACATCCTAGGATAACAGAATATATAGTAGGAACGACATGAGCATAGGAAAAATATGTCCATGGGGATGCATGATAATAATCCACACAATAAAACATATTTTGAAATGATAAGGAAATGAAAAATGTTTTCAGTATAGTTTCCAAGGCAGTAAAAGGTCTAAATGTAAGAGGTATTGCTTGGGTTAAACAGTAGAAGGGAGATATCATAGATATTTTCAAATATTAGAAAAATGCTTATAGGAATAGCTGAAATTCACTATTTTTAATTCAATTTGAAGGATTCAGTCTCTCTCCCAGTTACTTCAAGCTTAGTGAGATGCTAGCTGTGAGTTCTCCTTAGGGAATTCAAAAGAGAAAAACCTTGATTTTTTTTTTTCCCTTGAACCCATGTTGTTATGCCAATGTTAGAGTAACATAGCAGCTGCTCCCTCAAATCATGGAAATCCCAGGAGAGGTGGTTCTACTTGGTGATTGTAGCTAACTCAGCTGCTCTGGGGTTAGCATTGCTTCCTCCTTTTTCTGTGTCCACAAATACTTGTTAAATCATGTTCTGGGAGAAGGCACAGCAAAGATACACAGTCTTGTTTGGTACGCCCTCCTTCACAGTTTAGGATTAACAAAAACCCTAAGAATGTACAAATCCCTTTTTGTTAGAGGAAAGTACTTCTTTGGTATACATGCTGTTTCCTTTCACATAAAAGGATCTACATTTCTGGAAAACCCCTGATTTCTCTCAGGAAAGGAAAAATAACTTACTGTAATGTTGAGATTGGGAGACAAAGAGTATATGGGTAGTTCATCGTCTCCCTTCCTTCAACTCAATGAATTATGGTGATGTATCACCGTATTTTAATTTTAATAAGGTTTATAAACAAAGGAAGTTAGAGAGGAATTTTGCAGTACAGTATGAAAAATATGCATCAAATTATGTCATTAGGAAGTCCATTGTTGTAACCTGTATCTTTGGTATGTCCTGTGCCCAATTTTTCATTTACAATGATATATTGCTCTACTTTCTTTTTCTTATTTTTTAAAAAAGAGTATAGAACACAATCTGAACCAATGGGTGTTATTTGTGGGCATCTGCATTCTTGGAGTGCAAGTGAAATTTGGGGAAATTGAAGGAACTAATACTAATGAACACATGGCACCATCATAGACAGATGTTACACACCTATTTCAATTGTTGAATTTGTCAAGAATTTTTTTATCTTGATTTGATTCTTCCCAAAAGTAATTTCTAACAACATTAATTCCCACAAGTATTTGAAGTGCTCATTGGGTATCATAATACACAACCAAAACACTCTATAAGTGAATCTAGTAATTAAGAATAAAGAACTGGAAAAGAAGGGTAACTTCTAAAGTGATTCTCTCTCTCTCTCTCTCTCTCTCTCTCCCTCCCTCTCCCTCTCCCTCTCTCTCTGTGTGTGTGTGTGTGTGTGTGTGTGAGAGAGAGAGAGAGAGAGAGAGAGAGAGAGAAAGAAGTATTTAGTTCATAGTAGTGACTACCATTACTGCTTTCATTTTCTCTGCTACTCAGGCATGAACAAGTGTGTTTAGACTTTGGGTGATTTGCTATAAGATCATTTTTCCAGTTCTCCCATACTTACTTCTCATGTCCCTACATCAGTGTCTGTTAATGCAATGCTAATCCTTTGAAATTTGGTAGTTATATGCCTTCATACTTCCTAAATAAGTGATTCTCAACCATTTTCAGAAGAGAGAAGAATCCTCCCTCCAGAAACAAATAAGAACCCAAAAAGCAAATACACAGAAACAAAAGTCAATCTTAATATAATTTGAGAGAATTTACAAATCTTCTGAAATCCATGGGTATGAGATTAGAAATTGAGTACCTAGAAATTTGATAATGTGAGTTAAATTTGCCAATTAGGCTACAATAAACTCTTGAAGTAATATCTGGGGACTAAAAACACTCAGCTATTTTCTCCTTGTCCTCCCATATTTGACCCTCCCAAATCATTCATTGCATCTGGCCTTCTGACATTTCATAGAAAACATTCTCTTTGTGTCACCATGAACAAAGAAGACATATAGGAACTTTTTCTTTTAAGTTGTGCAGGTGCGTGTCTCATGCTGAGATGTACAGCAAACAAAGGAATGTGTTTACTATGTAAGAGAACATTCCGAAAAATATTGAGTGATTATCTCACTAGGAAAAGAAGATAGAAGTGTCATAATTGATATTTATGTTCAGTGACAGTTTATGCTTGCTGAATTTTATGATCAGAAATTACTTTTAGAACTTTGGAGTGTGGACTATAAAAGTTTCTTAATTTCTATGCACTTACTACATTTTGTCGACGTTCCATGAAACTACTGCTTTTCTCAGCACATTTAGGAGGAAACTAACTCTATACTTCAGATATAACAACTTTAATCCTTGATAAAAGTAATAACCAGTATGGGACAAACCACCGGAAAATAGTGTCTGCATGGCAATCCAGTCATGTTTCAAGGGTTGCCATTAAAATTTCACCTGGAGTGTTAAAAATTAACTTACTGGAGTGACTGGTATAATATGACATATGAATTGCTTAAAAAATAAAACAGACAATAGCAAGTGTTGACAAGATATAGAGCAACAGAAACTCTACTACATTATAGGTGTTCAAGAACTTTTACTTTTTGGAATAAAGTCCAAAAATGTAAGGAAGAAAACAAACCATAATGAAACAAAGTAGAACTTTCTCTTTTCTCTCTCCTAATCCACATATGTATGTTCTTTTTCTTCACCCAAACCATATTGTAGTTTTTAAACTTGGTTGAATAATACTACTATGTGTACATTTATTTTAAAAATGCATCATTTCTTTTCTCTCCTTTTCCCTTATTATGACATGAATTATTAAAGTAAGCAGCTATTATGGATTTATAGAAAACTAGTCAATAAAACTTAGGCTTAAAATAGGAATGTCATTGAGTTATATGGTTGCACTGACAATAGAAGAAGAATTTTGTCTGATAAAGATTTTATAAAGATTTTAACATTTTAAGAATTAAAAATGTAGGGCCTGAGAATATATCTCCATGTTAAATTAATTGTGACAATGACTTTCCTGTGTCAGTTCTTCATGTGAACTCACTGAGAATCTAGTTTATTTTGGCCACCTTACATAGAACAAAATGCCAGATATCTCTTCATTCCTACATGATGCATTTCCACCAGGAATCAGTCCCTGCCATGTCTTTTAGCCTTGGACTCCGTAATAGTAGCAGCATAGGCAACATTACAGTACTGGGAATGAATGATCATAAATATTGAATTAGAGCTTTAATTGTACAAACTATATTTTTTAACTAGAATTATAAAGCAAGTGTAGAGGTAGGTGAAAGAGTAATAAAAATCAAGGCTAGTTTGTCTGGTTTTAAGATGAATTTGGCTTTGGAAATCATCTGTTTTGATCAATGATCATTGTACCCAAATCAAAAACCTGTGATATTGATCAATTTAACTTTGCTTTACTTTGGTGATTACTGATTTTCCACTTAAGGTGATCATTTTGGACCTCAATTTTTTCACTTTTATTAAGTATATATCTGAAATTGTGCAATATGTCTATTTGAATGGGATTTGATAAAACTAGACAGTAGTGATTTATACCTATTGTGAAATGACAAAATAGAAAGGAGGCACCAGTACAATTTTGGTGCCAGTTAAATAGGGTGACGGCTCACCTTTTTATTCTTTTGATATATAGTCAACTACAGTCTAGTTTTTTTTTTTTTAAGATTTATTTTATTTATACAAGAACCAGGGTACAGGCCAGATGTGCAGGAGTGTGAGAGGATTCGCCAGAGACAGAGCATGGAACAGAATAGGCAGAATGACAGAAATACACTGCTGAGGGAAGCAGTGGGCAAGACAGGAGAGGTCTGCTGTGCCGTGTGGGTTGCTCCGCGGCCAGTGGGGATCTAACCGGCAATGCAGAGGCTGCGGACAGCTTCACAGTGCAGCACTCAACTGCCTGTGCCCCTAGGGAGGCCCTACATTCTAGTTTTAAAAGCACAACAGACCCAGGTATTCATCAATAACAACAGTAATGACATGTATCAATTGATACCTATCAGCAGATATCATTATGAAGCATGGTGGAATGAAAGTAGCATTCATAATAGAAAGACAAAGGCAGACCATGGTGATAAGCTTGAGAATATTGATTTATCTAGTCTCTCAAGAATCACATTTCACTGGTAGAAGGATATTGGAGGTCATTTTAAAACAGCTCATAGACAGTACTAAATAGTACTCAAAACAGTGGCAAGTGACTTTGTCTAAGATGGGGGACAGATCACTGTCAGTAGGTTCTCATCCACATGCCCAATCAAGCTTAGGGTTTACAACACCAGGGTTTATTTAACAAGCAGGAGATTGGCAAAAAGGAAGGAATTTCTAAAGCCACAAGTGGCTGTTTCACTCCAGAATTCCCAAAGACTGCTAATTGAAGATGAGGTGAACTGCAGCAGCCCACAGCTATAACTTAATGCTGGGCTAGATGCTGAACCAGCTAGTGATGAACTCCACAGCACCAGGTGGTGGTGACAGAGAAATGGAGACTGTGGCAAGCTCTTTGTGAGCTATTGGCACACATCAATAGTGAACAGCTCTTTGAGACACCTGGCCAAGGATGATGGTAATCCTTGTAGGTAGTGTCAGAGGCAGGGATGGAGGCAGGTGCAGTAGCCAGAAGTCTGAAGAGATCTATGGAGGTCTGGGACTCTAGAAGTCTATGAAGCTCTGGTAAATCCCAAGAAGGTCATCTGCAGGATGCATCTCTCTTTAGACTGTCTGCTGAATCCTTCATTTCTGAAGGTGTTCCAGTGAATGGTTCCTATTTGAAGGTTGTCCAGTGAATGATTCTTCTCTCTTTGGAGGCCAGCTGCTTAAATTATCTCTTTCTTTGCTTTATGTCCTCTTCAGGGACCCCACCCTGCAAGATTGATTGGACTGTTTTTAATCCTATGTGTCTGATTGGACCATTTATTACCAACCAGCACCCTTTTCATTTTCAATCCAAATTGGGATGTTAGGATTGGAAAGCTCAAGGCTGATTGGCCCATTTCTAGAAAGGATAAGCCCCTGCTACTGCCTAAACTGACCTATAGTCAGGTCAGAGCAGGCTCATTGGGCTGCAGTCTTTGGGGATACCTGGACAGAGCTGGGCATTTGTTCTTTGGAAGGGGGAATGGCCACAGGTGATATGCTGGGGCCAGTGTATCTCAACACCAATAAAACCATCTTGCTCCATGCCCTGTGGGTACCATGGGGACATGGTTGCAAATTCATTGTAGCTTCAAGTCAGAAAGTCTAATCTAGGCCATTCATGGTTTTATTAGGTGCCTACTGACCTTGGGGTAACATAATCATGTAGGAATTATCCTAGATTTTTTGTTGTTGTTTTCTGTCTCTCTTGAGATACTAAATCAATCTCTCTCTCTCTCTCTCTCTCTCTCTCTCTCTCTCTCTCTCTGTGTGTGTGTATGTGTGCGTGTGTGTAGAGAGAGAGAAAGTGATACTTTTCTAGATTATAAATAAAGCATGTCTTTCCATTATTACTAGATATTATTGTGGAATAATGGTGGACTGTACCATTTTATGCCCTGAATCACCAATTTATTTTATTAAGATGTGTAAACCTTGTTTTCCACCAAGAAAATTCCCTGGGAAGTCATGCTGTTTTCTAGATTTGTGTATTACCACATAGACTTTCTCATGTAAACATTCTATAATATTAATATATTGATTCATTGAACTCATAGGGTGGACTTAAGATAATAGTTCAACAATCACATGGTATTCTTTTACTTGCTTCTCAGGGTAATGATACTTCTTAAATCTTCTTAATACTTTTAAGACCCAGAAACTTAAATTTCTTTTTTTTAATAATAAATTTTATTTTTATATTCCCCATACAATTTCAACCCCCCCCCCATTTTGACCCCAATCCCTCCCCTCCCGCCACCCACCCCCCAAAAGTGTCTCTGGTTCATAGATTTTTGTTGATTTTGATTTTCACTTTCTTATAGTTATTCATTTTCCTGGTCCCTTATTTAAGTTTTCTAGATTCCTGCTATGAGTGAGACCATCCGGTATTTTTCTTTTTCTTTCTGGCTTATTTTGCTGAGCATGATCCCTTCCAGCGCCATCCATGTTGCTGCAAATTGCATGTGTTTATCTTTTTTGAATGCTGAGTAATATTCCATGGTATATATGTACCGCATCTTCTTGATCCAGTCATCTATTTTTGGGCATTTGGGCTGTTTCCAAAGCTTAGCTATTGTAAATAGTGCTGCTATAAACATAGGGGTGCAGGTGTTCTTTGGAATTGATGCAGAAACTTAAATTTCTAATAGTAGAATTTAGACCATATGAAAATCAATGGGGGGCTTGTTTGAGGGCAGATAATACTTTCTGTGCATTGCTATGGTGCTGCAACTACCTATGCAAATACATTTTCTTTTCTCTTTTTTGCCCTTTCCTTATTACTTTCATTGTCTCCTCTGTGGGCTGGAGGATGTATTTTCCTTTCAGTGTCTCATGATTGTAGAGAACCACTTTTAATGTGTCAGTAATAGTGTGATAGGCAGTCATCAGTGGTATACATAATCTGGAAGTAAATATAATATTCTACTTTCTCTATAAATTACAATATAGCAAAATCAGATTTTAAACAACAAAGTTTACTGTACATTAAATTTTTCCTAAATATTTTGTAAATAATAGTTTCCTAAGATTTCACATAACTTAGGTCTTATCAGGTAATGTAAGAGTTTCTATATTTTCTTATTTTTATTTTTGTATGGAACTGGGGTGTAGACCAAAAGTGCAGGGTGTGAGATGATTCACCAGAGACGGAGTGGGGAGCAGTGTAATTTACTGAAATATACACTGCTAAGGGGATCAGCAGGTGAGACAGGAGAGGTCTACTGCACCCTCTGTGGGTTAGCGCCCTGGCCAGTGATCAAATTCAGGTGGTAGTCATAATAGCACTGAGACTTAACCCCTAGGCCACAAGAGATAACCTCTGTATTTATTATTAAGTGTGAAATAACTTAAAAATTTGTGTCATATTTTATAGCTGGGTAGGAGAATCACTTTGAGTTTTGATTTTTCTTTTCCAGAAATTTTCATTTATTAATTTTCTAATCATAATGAGTATTATTAGGAGGAATAATACCAAAATGAACTGATAATTATTAAAATGACACACTGTCTAATTTGTTTAAGATTTTAAAAAGGATCATGTTGTCTTGACAAAATGTATATTTGTAAATATTTCAGAATGAAAAGGTATCATTCTTAATATTAAATAATGCAATATCTTAATGTGTTAAAGCTATTCAAGAAAACATTTCAATTACTTAGAATCACTTACCTATTTAAATTATAGCAGAAGGCCTCCCTGGTGGCACAGGGGGTTAAGGCACAACCTATGAAACTGTTCACAACCACTGCAGCACCAGTTTGATCCCTGGCCAGGGAGCTACCCACATGGTGCAGTAGACATCTCCTGACTTGCACACTGCTCCCCTTAGCAGTGTATTTTCAGTCAGTCTGCCTGTTCTGTTCCTCACTCTGTCTATGGTAGATCCTCTCACCCACTGCACATCTGTCCTGTACCCCAGTTCTTGTATGCATAAATAAATAAATCTTAAATAAATTATAGCAAAGAAATGATAGTGATTTTTGGAAAATTTTTAAAAATGCATATTGTCAGATCAGAAGAAATGCTAGTGTCAAATAGTTTGTCAAATTATAGCAGAATTTTTTCCTAAGAATTTTAAAATTGTTTTGATGAGATAAATATGTATGATTTAAGATAATCAATGTCTACTACCTTTTCTTTTAGACTATTGCACTGACATGCAAATTTAGGAAAGTGTTTTTCAATCTATCATTAAATAGTAACTTATTCAAAGGTGAAAAACAACACAAATATTGGGAACAGAAAATTTAGTTTTTTGTCCCTGCCCTGTGACCTATTATCCAAAATATACTTTCTACATTTTGTCAACCTGCCTGTATAGTCTCAGAGGGCTGTTGTAAACCAAATGAGACTGTGACTATGTGTGTGTGTTTTATTTATTTTTGAACTATAGGTCTAAAGGATGTCCTAAATTCCACAGTATTCCACAAAATCGAAATAAATATTAATCTGTCATTTGGCTGCTACTGATTTTAAGAACATACAAGAGAGGAATTTGGATGGCTGGGATTTAGTATTTTCATGATGGTCACTGTTAGCAGAGTTGTTGATAAATGTTCTTACAGTAGCTTCAGAGATAATATTTGTCACACATGGAGGAAAAAGTCAAATTATACTATGGAGTTAGCATGAAAACTGATGTTGATAAAATGCCTGGCACACTTTTAATGACCTGACTTTGTAACTTTGGTGGCTTTTTAGGATATGAGGAGAGGTTGCTCCTGCTTGATCAGGAGAGGAAGAACAGTAGAATATGTTGAACTAGCTGTTTTTCTAATGAAACTAAATTTCCTGGTGGTAAACCTTTATTCAGTATAAGATTAGAATCAGGAAATTATTGGTGTCTAACAATGCCCAGACATATAGTAGCTCCTATAATGCTTCCACTAAATTTGAGAATAAAGAACAAAAATTGCTCCACACAAAAAATGAAATGGAGAAAAAAAATTGTAAGATACTAAGTGGGGAGAAGTTTGATAAATTTATTTACTCAGGAGAATAGGGATAGTGATTGTTTTGCCAAGTTAAGTTTTATAATGTACATAGAATTTTAAGGGCCATTATGTGTAATGCCATTTGGATTATAAATTATCTAATCTGATTGAGAATATTTGTAAAGGTTTATTTTATTTATTTATGCATACAAGAACTGGGGTCTGGGCCAGAGGTGTGGGGGTGTGAAAGGATTCACCAGAGACAGAGAGGGGAGCAAAACAAGCAGATGTACTGAAACCCATTGCTGAAGGGAGCAGTGGGTGAGGCAGGAGAGGTCTGCTGCATCACGTGGGTTCGCTCCCTGGAGGGGGATCAAACTCCTGCTACAATGGCTTGTGATAGCTTGATAGTGCTGAGACTTTAGCCCCTGCAGCACCAGGGAGGCCCTCTGATTGAGAGTTTAGATAATTCACAATTGGAAGATTCAAGATATCCATGTGGCTGTTTTAGACAGGAAGAATTAAGTGAAATTCTTTCTATTAGTTTTGGATGTTTTCTTCTTTTGTTTTCATGTGGCTTTTCATTTAATCATTTCTCCAAGAGCCTAGAGTTTGGATCAACTGATGATTATTCTGTAACTAAGCAATGTATACAAATACATAATGTTGGGAATTATTTTCTTTAGAAGAAACAGCAGAAATTAAGTATTAAGTCTTTTTGCAAACTCCTTTGTTTCTTTTGTACATAGTGATTATGTATCACATCAAAATGGAATATGGATTAGTTGTTGAATGCCTCAGTCATTTTTTTTTACAAACATGTTACTAAATTTAAAAATACATTCTATTTACCCAAGATAATTAGGAGGATTTCAGGGTATATTATTCACTCATTTTCTTTCCACAACTTAACGTTAGTCTTTATCTAAGTAAGTGAATATGTGATTAAAGTATGTTAGACATACAAGGAAATTTATTCCTGGATACTGCTTCAATTATGGCTAAAGTATTTGTATTATGAGAAAAACATATTTTCAGAAACACTAAAGGGTATAGTTGAAAAGCGTACAAATACGCTGTTTTGAAGTCTTGCAAAAAATAGTTTAATTTGTGGAATTCAGAGTGAATTTGTAGTATTCTGTTTTATTAAATGAGCGTTTTAGCGTTTTTTTTTGTTGTTGTTAAATGTTCATAGCTAACATTTATTGAATGCTTACTAAGCTAATTCCTTAAAATACATTATTCTTTTAATAATAGTAATTCCAATTGTTCTGGTGTTATTGCTATCTC